TTGCACCCGCAGGCGCCACAGCCGGCATGCCAAACCATACCCAAAAGTTATTTTGGAGCGTCGAAAACACCTTTTCGGATCACTCGGAGGGTGTGAACTGCATTCTGGGCCACCGATTGCTCTCCTTCCTACTGCTCATGCTTCTTGCTTGCACCGCAGGCGCCACAGTCAGCATGCCAAACCATACCCAAAAGTAATTTTAGAGCGTCGAAAACCTTTTCGGATCACTCGGGGAGTGTGAACTGCATTCTTTGCCACCGATTGCTCTCCTTCCTACTGCTCATGCTTCTTGCTTGCACCCGCAGGCGCCACAGTCGGCATGCCACCAAACCATACCCAAAAGTAATTTTGGAGCGTCGAAAACACCTTTTCGGATTACACGGGGGGTGTGAACTGCATTCTGGGCCACCGATTGCTCTCCTTCCTACTGCTCATGCTTCTTGCTTGCACCCGCAGGCGCCACAGTCGGCATGCCAAACCATACCCAAAAGTAATTTTGGAGCGTCAAAAACACCTTTTCGGATCGTCGGGGGGTGTGAACTGCATTCTGGGCCACCGATTGCTCTCCTTCCTACTGCTCATGCTTCTTGCTTGCACCCGCAGCGCCACAGTCGGCATGCCAAACCATACCCAAAAGTAATTTTGGAGCGTCGAAAACACCTTTTCGGATCACTCGGGGAGTGTGAACTGCATTCTGGGCTACCGATTGCTCTCCTTCCTACTGCTCATGCTTCTTGCTTGCACCCGCAGGCGCACAGTCGGCATGCCAAACCATACCCAAAAGTAATTTTGGGGCGTCGAAAACACCTTTTCGGATCACTCGGAAAGTGTGAACTGCATTCTGGGCCACCGATTGCTCTCCTTCCTACTGCTCATGCTTCTTGCTTGCACCGCAGGCGCCACAGTCGGCATGCCAAACCATACCCAAAAGTAATTTCGGAGCGTCGAAAACACCTTTTCGGATCACTCGGGGAGTGTGAACTGCATTCTGGGCCACCGATTGCTCTCCTTCCTACTGCTCATGCTTCTTGCTTGCACCCGCAGGCGCACAGTCGGCATGCAAACATACCCAAAAGTAATTTCGGAGCGTCGAAAACACCTTTTCGGATCACTCGGAGAAACTGCATTCTGGGCCACCGATTGCTCTCCTTCCTACTGCTCATGCTTCTTGCCTGCACCGCCAAACCATACCCAAAAGTAATTTCGGAGCGTCGAAAACACCTTTTCGGATCACTCGGAGAGTGTGAACTGCAGCACTCTTGGAGCTCGGGCTCTTCTCCAAAGCCTTCCGGATCACAGATCTGCTCGGGCAAGTGAGGCCTTCCCATCCTCCTGCAGCAGCAGATCTTTGAGGAGCAAGCGCAAGCCCGCCAAGGCGTCCGCGGCCTGGCCCGTTGCGGGCCCTTTGTGTGCGCGGAAGGATGTGCGCTGAAGGAGCTGCGCGTGTGGTTGAAAAAGCAAACGCACTATAGGTAGGCCTCACATTGGCTGCTCCGGGACGTTCTCGGAGTATCGATAGGGTGTCGTTTTGGGTATCGTTCTGGGCGCGTGTAGTGTCACGAAAAAAACAAACTTGCTATAAGCTAGAGCCAAGCAAGCGCACAAGAGCCTTCTCTACCTTGCAGTAGTCATGTGATCAGCGGACTAAACTATGCTTCTCTGGCTCCCAAGCATTGGCGGCTTTGCTTGCTGGCTGCAACTTCCAGGTCGCAAGTCGCAACTTTCAGTACCAGCGCAGTACGCAAGTTACACTTTGGCAGCTCCAGCTCGAAGGTCGCAGCGTGCTCCGGTGCCTGCGGGCGCCTGTGCGTGTGCGTGTGCGCGGGTGCGTTAGCGATCCATCTGGGTGGGCCCATCTCGTGCACACATGTGCCCACCATGCATTGCCGAGGAGCATTGACAGGAGCTGTCATGGCAACTTGCAGCTTGGGGCAAAAAAAGGCTCACACAGTGCAAAATAGAAGCGCGAAGCGCCAGTTGCACGTCATGCGACGTTATCGTTTTTGGGGCTTCGCTATATCGTTCCTGAGGAAAAAATACAAAACAAGCAACGCGAAATCGCCGAAGACATATTTTATGACGAGAGAGTTTAGCCTTTTGCTCAAATATTTTCAATATTTCAAATCCCGGGAACCCAGGATCTGAGCCCGATTTAAAATTTTAAATATTTTAAATATTTTAAACATTTCAAATATTTTAAATATTTTAAATATTTTAAATCGGGGCCAGGGGATTTAAAATATTTAAAATATTTAAAAATATTTAGGCCCCGAATCAGCTTAAATATTTTAAATATTTTAAATCCGGGCCCGGGGATTTAAAATATTTAAAATATTTAAAATATTTAGGCCCCAAAATCAGTTTAATAATTTGAAATATTTTAAATCGGGGGCCCGGGGATTTAAAATATTTAAAATATTTAAAATATTTAAATTATTTAAAACTTTAAATCGGCCCCAGCTCCAGAAATCAGGACCCGGGGATGTAAAATATTTAAAATATGTAAAATATTTAGGCCCCAAATCAGCTTAAATATTCTAAATATTTTAAATCGGGGCCCGGGGATTTAAAATATTTAAAATATTTAGAATATTTAGGCCCCAAATCAGCTTAAATATTTTAAATATTTCAAATCCCGGGAACCCAGGATCTGAGCCCGATTTAAAATTTTAAATATTTTACTTATTTTAAATATTTTAAATATTTTAAATCCCCGGGCCCCGTATAATATTTAAAATATTTAAAAAATATTTAGGCCCCGAATCAGCCTAAATATTTTAAATATTTTAAATCGGGGCCCGGGGATTTAAAATATTTAAAATATTTAAAATACTTAGGCCCCAAATCGGTTTAAATATTTTAAATATTTTAAATCGGGGCCCGGGGATTCAAAATATTTAAAATATGTAAATTATTTAAAATTTTAAATCGGCCCCAGCTCCAGAAATCAGGACCCGGGGATTTAACATATTGAAAATATTTAAAATATTTAAAATATTTAGGCCCCAAATCAGCTTAAATATTTTAAATATTTTAAATCGGGGCCCGGGGATTTAAAATATTTAAAATATTTAGAATAGTTAGGCCCCAAATCAGCTTAAATATTTTAAATATTGCAAATCCCGGGAACCCAGGATCTGAGCCCGATTTAAAATTTTAAATAGTTTAAATAGTCTAAATATTTTAAATATTTTAAATCGGGGCCCGGGGATTTAAATTATTTAAAATATTTAAAATAGTTAGGCCCCAAATCAGCTTAAATATTTTAAATATTTTAAATCGGGGCCTGGGGATTTAAAATATTTAGAATATTTAAAATATTTAAAATATTTAGGCCCCAAATCAGTTTAAATATTTTAAATATTTTCAATCGGGGGCCCGGGGATTTAAAATATTTAAATATTTAAAATATTTAAATTATTTAAAATTTTAAATCGGCCCCAGCTCCAGAAATCAGGACCCGGGGATTTAAAATATTTAAAATATGTAAAATATTTAGGCCCCAAATCAGCTTAAATATTTTAAATATTTTAAATCGGGGCCCGGGGATTTAAAATATTTAAAATATTTAGAATAGTTAGGCCCCAAATCAGCTTACATATTTTAAATATTTCAAATCCCGGGAACCCAGGATCTGAGCCCGATTTAAAATTTTAAATATGCTAATTGTGTTGAATATTTTAAATATTTTAAATATGTTAAATCGGGGCCAGGGGATTTAAAATATTTAAAATATGTAAAATAGTTAGGCCCCAAATCAGCTTAAATATTTTAAATAGTTTAAATCGGGGCTCGGGGATTTAAAATATTTAAAATATTTAGAATATTTAGGCCCCAAATCAGCTTAAATATTTTAAATATTTTAAATCGGGGCCCGGGGATTTAAAATATTTAAAATATTTAAAATATTCAGGCCCCAAATCAGTTTAAATATTTCAATTATTTCAAATCGGGGGCCCGGGGATTTAACATGATTGAAATATTTAAAATATTTAAATTATTTAAAATTTTAAATCGGCCCCAGCTCCAGAAATCAGGACCCGGGGATTTAACATATTGAAAATATTTAAAATATTTAGGCCCCAAATCAGCTTAAATATGTTAAATATTTTTTATCGGGGCCCGGGGATTTAAAATATTTAAAATATTTTGAATATTTAGGCCCCAAATCAGCTTAAATATTTTAAATATTTCAAATCCCGGGAACCCAGGATCTGAGCCCGATTGAAATTTTAAATATTTTAAATATTCTAAATATTTTAAATATTTTAAGTATTTTTAAATCGGGGCCAGGGGATTTAACATATTTGAAATCGGGGGCCCGGGGATTTAAAATATTTAAAATATTTAAAATATTTAAATTATTTAAAATTTTAAATCGGCCCCAGCTCCAGAAATCAGGACCCGGGGATTTAAATTATTTAAAATATTTAAAATATTTAGGCCCCAAATCAGCTTAAATATTTTAAATAGTTTAAATCGGAGGCCCGGGTGATTTAAAATATTTAAAATATGTAGAACATTTAGGCCCCAAATCAGCTTAAATATTTCAATTACTTTAAATCGGGGGCCCGGGGATTTAAAATATTCAAAATATTTAAAATATTTAAATTATTTAAAATTTTAAATCGGCCCCAGCTCCAGAATCAGGACCCGGGGATTTACAATATTTCAAATATTTAGGCCTCAAATAAGCTTCAATACTTTAAATATTTTAAATCAGGGACCCGGGGATTTAAAATATTTAAAATATTTAAAATTTTAAATCGGCCCCAGCTCCAGAAATCAGGACCCGGGGATTTAAAATATTTAAAATATTTAAAAGATTTATTTGAGCAGCATTGGGCCTGAAATTGCGCTATATATGCAGGAAAGGGTCCCGCGACACATTATACATACTCTACCCTCTTACCCCCCCCCCCCCACCCCATCGCTCAACCCCCCCCCCACCCCCAGCCCCACCCACCCCCACCCCCCCCACCCCCGCTAGGCCCTCCGTCGCTTCTCGCAGCAGCCGCTCTGCACGCCCGAAAGCGGAGCCGTCAGGCCTCGCTGGCGCGGCGCGGCACCGGTGCGTACGAGAGCCATGTGGGTGGCTCACTTCCGTGGACTGGCCAACAAAAGTCTGAACTTGTTTCTTTTTTTTACACTCAAGTGGTATTTCCAAAAGGCTTAAAGTTCATGAACTCAGGGGGATTGGGATATGAAGCCCTGGTTGGGGAACATGGGGAACCACCTCGTAACCTCCAAACTGCTAATCCAAGCCACCAATTGGCGGGGAAAATCATGGGTGTGTGGGTCAAAAATAGATGGAATCCCCAAAATGGCTTGCCCTGGTAAATGGGAACAAGGACATTCTAACCCGCCGTGCAATTCCTGGCGGATGCTTAGTGTGGAGTTGGGGTTCGGGGTTCCACAAAGAACTCGAAAGGGAACACCCCACTGACCTGGGTCCACCATCTCAGACAAAATCCTCATGGTAAGTATTAACCTGCTGGCTGGGTGCATCCAAGTACAAACCTCTAACCTTTAACCAGCCTCGAGCGAATTTCAGGTGGAGCTGCCCCGGCTTGGATGTCCGCCCGTGGCTCACATATTTTCAGTGAGAGACGCCCCTCAAAATGCAACCACCCTACAGCTGGGCCAAAAGCAAACGACGCAACTGTCCAGGCTGAGTCGTCCATTTTGACGCACACGAAGGGATTTGTGCCATCATGTGCCATCCAATTGAAAGTAAGCCCCCCATATTGAACCTCTTCTGCGTGGTTCTGCCCGGTTCCAGGATGGCAAGGCGCCACTAGCGGCAACACGAAAGCCAATGGAAACTCAAATCCAATCTTAAAAGGACGGTCCAGCTATTCTGGGTACCTCCTTCGTTTGGGGGGGCCACGTTACTAATCCCAGGTCGCCCTTCATGATCGCTACCAGCTACCTGAAGAGCATTTTTCCTCCAAGAAGGGGCGGGGTTGGGGGCCCCAACCATAGACTTCCCCCTTCGTGATGCAGCTGGTTCTTTCTGAAGGCGGAACCGTCCATGCGACAAGGCACACGTTGGGAATCAGGAACGTTTACAAACGCCCAACAAAGGCTCAAAGAGAGCCTGAGCTAAGCTGCCAAACGAGCAAATGAATCTTCCCACCGAAGCTCCCGAAAAAAAGGTGCAAGGCCAAGTGCCGCACTCCATCGGGCCTCGCAAGGAACGTGGGAGGCGCCTCGTTGGGCCTCGTTGGGGGCCTTCGGTGCCATCTGCCCTGCCTTCTAAGGCTCCTTATAAGGCTCCTTATAAAGGCCTTCTACGGCTCCTGATCGGGCTCCTTATAAAGCTGCTTATAGGGCTCCTTCTAGCGCTCCTTATAAAGCCGTGTCAAGATCCTGAAAGAAGCTTTCTTATGAGCCTCCTCAAAAAGATGAACTCTACTCCGTGGCTACTGCCCCGGTGCAAAAAGTTGAACTTAGTTCGATACGCGTGTCGATTGGGCCCGTGATTTAAGCAGGGTTACAGCTGAATCTTACCGTTGCTGTCAGCGCACTGCGCTATGCACTTGGTAGCAGTTGAGGATGAGGGTTGTGCATCACCTAGGTTCGTCGATTGTGAGCCTCCGGTTTGGGGTGCCAGTGGCTCGCCGGCGTGACATGTGACTTTTTCCGGCCTTCTGAAGGCTCCAGTCCTGCACCGGGCCGATCGACCGCATTTCCCGTGTTCAGCCCACCCCACTTCATACCCTCCACCGGTCCACTTCACCCCATGACTCCCCCAAAGCAAGCTCGAAAGGCGATACCGCCCCCCCCCAAAAAAAAAAAGAATAAAAAAAACACGCAAGGGTCCGACATGGTAGGTGCTCAAACTAGCCCAGTCCTGCCCCACGCAGACAGGCTTGCAGAAGCAGCCTTGCCTGGAATGGTGGCAGGCTAGCATGTGCAACCAAGGTAAACCATCGACGGTTTCTGGGATGGGACCCAGGCAACGCCAGAAAAAGTACCCTCCTTCCAACAATCATGGAAGTGGACATGGAGGGTCCCCAAAAGGAAAGTAGTCTTCCAAAACTCTCCAGACGTCAGCTTCCATGATTGATGGAGGGGGCGCAAGCAATAGCTACCCAAAACGGCTGGCCCTGGTACATGGAAACATGGACTAAAATCAGTCCCTGGTGGTTAAAATTTGACCCACCCACTTGTGCTAGAAGCATTTGTCAGCCGTCGGTCTACAAGCCCTTGGCTCCCTGCACGCCTCTCGCGCCGGGCGCCGTGCCGGGAGCACCTGCGCGCTCCGCGCCTCGGGAGGAACAAGTGCGACGCTTGGATCTTTTTTTTATGTTCTTTGTTTTTTTCTTTATATATATATATATATGGTTCTTTCTTTTATTTTGTTTGCTCCGAGTGGCCCAACTTGGTGTATTTTCGGTGTGTTCCCCTTCCTGGGCAAAAGGTATTGCCTCTTGTCATGTGGTGCCAACAGGTCTATTGTGCGATTCGGTCAAACCAAAGATGAACCATGTTTGAGGGCCCCTGCTTCAGCTTGGTTCAAAGGGAAACCAACAAGAACACTACCATTTGTTGGGTCCTATTTTGACACATGCCCACTTGGATGCTCAACCTGCTTAGCAAGTACGCGGGGTGAAAGTGGAATTCACAATTACTTCCCTGTCAGTATGTCTGACTTATGATGAACCAAAACGGGCAATTGTGCTATCTACGTTGAGCCGGTTGTAGGTTGTATCTAATTTAGTTGTTCCCGACCACTGTTGCAAGTGATGCAACTGGGGCCAGTTTGGCCTTACAACTCCCAACGCTGTGGTAGTAGATTGATTAGATACGACCCAAGTGGAAAGATTGACCAAGTGGGCACTTTTTGGAGCAGGGCGGAAAATTATACACGTAATGTACGCAAATCGTCCAGCAGAATGCTCAAACATAGGAAAGCCTCCCAATGAGCAGCATGCTGCCCCCATTGGCTCCTTTGTCCTGGCTGCATCCGTTTGGAGAAACAAATGAAACGTAGCGTGCCTAACTTGCTTAGAAGGCAGAAGTCCTGAAGAGCACTGCTGCGCCGCACAAACCGGGTTGCGGTATTGGTGCTTTGCCCGGGTTGATGGCCTTGCGTTCAGCAGCCACAAGCAAAGACAAAACATTTGGCACTGACCTCTTCTTAGCATGCAGAAGTTTGGCTGAGGGCGACAGCTTGCATGTCGCCAGGCACCCCTCAGACCCGTCTCCCGATGAAAGCCCAAGCCCCAAACTGCGACCTCGTGCACGGCAGCCCCAAAGAGCGGCCGGCCTGCGGTTTGGCTTGGCGGCTGGGACCGTAGGCGCCTGACCCCTTGGTGGTTTCAAAAGGAATTGGGGTTCAAATCCCCAAACCGGGTGGATCGCTTTGTGACGCCAGTGGATCACAGCTTTTATATCAGGTTCCCTCTTGTCTGCACCAGGGGTTCGCATTTCAGGCAACCCTCAATTGAAGTTCGTGGTTTGGGCTTCCTTCGCTAATTTCAGTTTGAGGGGGTGGGTGGGGGGGGGGTGTTCCTTCCCGAGGAAAGCTACGGATCTCTGTTCGGATCTCCAGCTTCGAATGGAACTGTTCCAGAGGTGCTGTTGGGGGTTACCTGGGAAGCCCATTTTTTGCGGTAGGGCTTCAATATGAAAGCCGAAGCCCAAGCCCAGAAATTTGTCCGATGACATGAGATCCCCTTCAGTCAGAACCAATGGCTGTGAGTATCCCTTGTTCAGCCGCTGCTTAACCCACTGACTTTGGTAGGCATGCCTTGGCTGTGAATTTGCGTGAAAAGCGTGGCGTAAGGCTTGAATTTGCCATAAACCCGACCTACCGGGACACTTTCAGGGTGACCAATCCGAAGCACTTGCCAGGTTCCGTGAGGTGCACTTTTGGGGCAACAAGGCCTCATGGCTGAAGGGAAACCACTGGAGGGCGACAGGGCAAAACGATTACGTCTGCCAATGAACAGTGGTTGGGGCGCCAAAACTTAGGGGGGTTGCTTGGCAGGGGGACACGGTGAAACAGCAAGCCCCCATGCCAGATTCATCAGAAAGGTCAACCCATTGAGTAGATCATAACCAGAGCGATTGTATTCGCCGTTTTGCCGAGTGAGTGAAAAACATCCAAGGAACCAACGCGGCCTAAGCAAATCGCGACCCATGGCCCCGATTTGTGCTTGGAACAATCCTAAACCTTCACTTCGCCCTTGGAATGGCTCAGGGTAGGTGTGGCAAATCAATTATATAAATAAACAAATAAATAAACATATAGTTGTTCTTTCTTTTTTTCTAAAAACACATAAACAAATAAATAGATAGAAACAGAAGGCCACTGGTAGGTCGAAACGGGTCGTTTGGATGCCTTGGGCCCGGGCTGCCGACTTCCGGGTGCACAGAGTAGAAGGCTTCTGCGCCTAAGCCCCCCCATTGGCCATCCTTCCTTTCCGCCCCCAAATTCTTGGAATTCGGCGCGGCTCGAACTTTAGGGCCATTTCCCGATCGACCACGATCGTTTGAAGTGGGCCCCAAACCCGAACAAAAGTGAGTTCTAGCGTGGATTTCACTGAACGAATGCGTCTTGGATTCCAAGACCCACAAGAAGCCCGTAAACCAAGCAACACAGACACACAATCAATGCCTGGCAAGACACCCATTTCTGGATGTGACTGTTCTTTACTACCCTTCACTGAATGGTAACTTTGCATTCATACGCCCCTACTGGTTTTGATTGGCAGGTGAGACATATAAAAGAGTTTCTAGGGGTGATTTGACTTGACCGGTTGCTGCGGTTTTAGAGGATCGATCCAAATCACTTTTGGAGCAGACACCTTCGACATCCGTAAACACCCCCACGTCATTCATGAGGTGAATTCATAGCCCCTTACCCCCTGTGACTTCATAACATGGCCCGTTTGGAGCTTCCCGTTTTGGGACTTTCCACTCCTCCCCCCCCTTTGCCCGAGGTTCCACACGCAAAGAGGCGCCCACAAAGGCGGTGTGTGAGGTGGTGCTCCAGTGGATGCCTCTTTGGCCTGGCCACTTGGCCCAGTGAAAACGCTTTGGACCTGGATGTGCCTAGAGAGTACGAATAAAGGAACCTGCAGGGGAAAGAGCAGGTGAAATCCACAAAAGGAGTTTACCTTTTTCGAGGCTTGGAAGAAAAAACAATGCATGGGGATATAGACCAATATTCTGCAGAGGCTGAGATGGCAACAACAAAGCACACTTGCGTATTTTTGTTTACCTCCTCACTGGAACCGCTGTGTATAAGCCTAAGATAAGCCTCAAGCTGCCTTTCCTGCAAGTACCTAGTCTTCAAACGTGGGGTCGATTTGATTTCCCGAAAGAATGCCCATACGCGTCCCTTTTCAACGCTGGGCTTAGAGCCTACCTTGGGGAAAGCCAAGCAATGGCTTAACCTGGTTCAAACATGGGGTCCAGGAGCAAATCTCGAGCATCACAATTCGGGTCTCGGGCCCGGATTCGTCGTGAATCTGAGGGATAGAAGGGTTCTGAGAACCTTCGTAGGGGCCCAAGCTGCATTTTTGGACGAGGACATTGGAATCCCCCCCTTTTTCAGGGGTCTTTCCGGTAAATCTATCCCCAACTTCATTTTGGGGTGGGATGGTGCGGATAGCGGCGACTGGGTGCTTGGACCCCCCGGCGGTAACGCTGGTTTGTCCACAGCCTTTCTGCTAGCTTGCCTCGTGGGTCAACTGCTAGTAGAGTGAGTCTTGCAATACAAAACGGGGACCCTTGGTGGACTTCAGAAATTCGGTGGGGATTCATGCCCACCACCACTGGGTGGTATCAACCAACTCTTACAATTCATAGTCACATGAGGAAATGCAAATAGGAAAGGGACTACAGTAACTACATGTAACTACAGGGCGATGCTCAACCTCAGCACCCAAGAAGCTCGAGATAGCGGTCGCTGGTGAGGTTGGTCCCTGGGCTGTTCAGAAACCTCTTGTTTTCAGGGGGTTCTCCTCTTCAAAGTTCTTGGGAGCAGGGCTGGCACACGGCCCTGGCGCCGCATGGTGCACACCCAAAAACAAAGCACCCTGTTTCTCCGAACACTTGCCCCGTCAACAAAACCCATCATTCCTCCAAACACATGTTTTACCTCGGATTTATGGTTTGGGTCCGTGCAATAGACGCTTAAAGGTCATTTTTGCAGCCAAGAGTTCTCAAAAAACAATACCCTAAAAGCAGCAGATTGCAACAACAAAGACCCTAAATGTCCATCATACAGGGCGGATCCCAAGTTCAAAAGGAAAAAAGTGCGCCTCTTTGCCCACAGGGGTCCCCCTACGCCATCGCCAAGCGCCCACCCCTCTCTCACGCGCTCTGCCTCCGTCGAAGATGTGGCCGCAGCGCCTGCGACGGTTTCGCTGTTGGGTTCCCGGGGAAGTCGCAATCTCGCAGGGGCAAAATCCTGGTGCCGTGCATAAGCCACGTCCAATAACCCCTGTGCAGTGAGAAGAGTGCATCATGGACGCTGGGTGGCTCGGGGGCGGGGGGTTGAGGAGCCGTAAGGCCTAATAATTGGGGATGGTCAATCTGCGATAGCAGGTGATCATTGAGTGAACACTATGGGTCTCTTGGGGTTGGTCTTCACAAGGACACCTACGAAAGGGGTCCAAGATTCGTTTCCATCTCATGGCTCCAAGAAATGCTGAGCTCACATTCATGTCATCTCAGGTCTGACGTACTCTTTTGGTGTCCAAGGTGAAGTTGGGAACCTCTTTGGAGGGGTTGTTGCTGTTCTAGGTTTTAAGGCCCTTTCTTTCCAGCCATCGTTGTTTTTTGGACAACCCCGCCCCGTTCCCTGGGTCTGTGGTCTGGAAAGCGGGGGCTAAGCGTGCTCTGGAGAGAACGTGTTACAGAGCTGCTGGAATTCTGGATCCTCGAACTGCCGTGCATTGAACCACCAAAACTGGAGCCTAAAACTCACGGCCTTCAGGCCCTTCGTGAACATCATGTCAAGGGCCGCTGAGGGAGGGGGCAGGGGTTGGGATCCTGTGTGGAAGGTATCCCAACGTCCACCTCGGATGTTGCCGAAGGAAGCTCAAGCTAGACATGGGCGCGCCTTTTTTTAAAAGGGGACCCTCCAAATTGGTGTTTGTCGCCCTTTTAAAACCAATCCAGAAGGGGGAACCGACTCCAAAGCAAGACCACCCCATGCCCCTTGAACGCGGGTGCTGTGTGAGTGCCTAATGAAAACTCCGGCGAAAGGAGCCGAGCCGCTCCGCAGAAAAGGCATCCGCCTGGATCCCTCGCTGGAAGTCTTGGCCTCAGGCACCAAGACCTCCCCCATGTTCGCTTTTGAATTGACCCAATAAATAAACACCCAACTTTCACAGCCCTTAAATTGGGGGGGGTGCTTTCAGCACTTCCCATCTTCTAGTTGTAAAATATCATTTGTACATTGTATGTTTGCTTTTTGGACGTTTAAGCGTGAATTGACAAATCCTAAAGAACATGATTTGAGCATTTACCTGGCAAATTACGACAGTGGAGTTTTTGCGCCAGGCAAAGGGGAGGAGCCCATTTGTGGGAGGACCGTAATTTGTGGAAACTTAGACCCAATTAGTAAGTATATTTCCCAAAATGTGATATTTACTGCTAGGATGGTTTAATAGGTTCTTGGGTGAGGGGGGGGAGGGTGACTGGCTTCCTCCAAACGACAACAGGCAAACAGTGATATCGCCTGTTTTGGGGCCACAAGGCCAAACATGGTTGCCAAAATGGGAACCCAAAAGGAATTGTTGCCAAAAAAGGAACCGGTGCGAAAAAAGCTCGATTCGCTTTGGGCTGAGTAAAGCAAGCATAGATTTGGGCCAGCTAATTTAAACAAATCACGACTCTGCGAGCTTTAGGAGAGCCCCCTTGTAAAGCTGGTGGTTTTTAGAGGCACCCACAGGAACCTGTCAAAGCTGAGCGGGGGCATGGTGGACACCCTAAACACTGCAAGTGAACCAAGCACGTCCAAACCACGCAACCATGATACATGGGGGTATGACACCGGCAACGCCCAAGCAAAACATGGAAACCAGTCACCCCCAAATCTGGTCCGCGGCCATGTTTTCATGAAGGGCACAAAGGTAAGATGTAGCCCACCGTTCACAACCGGAACCTCCAGCTTTTAACATGCCCATGGGCTAACGGCTCGCATTCTCTCTGCCGAGCCCTAAGCTCAAGTCCCCCCACTTCCTTTCCACCGCCCGCTGGGGCACCCACATGGCAGCACCTGAGTTCGGCTTTGAAGACCCCAGGTTCCGGCAGCCCTGAGTCTGAGGGTGATTTTAGTACATCCTGACGATGACACCCTTCGGAAATGACCCAACATGGTTCAACATACCAGGTTACCACGGCTTTTTCCGGAAATATGCCCAAACGGTTTTATTTCCCAGCGGGTGTAATCCCAGGGTGTGATGCACACACCCTTAGACTGAGAGGCTGCTTGCTCTACCCCAAAGCAATGAGCAAAGACCCCGCAGCTGCCTAGCAGCTATGAACAATAAGGCTGCATATTTTGGGCAAGTGATCCAGAGCCACGCAAACATTCCCCAATTCATGAATTCAGACGTGCAGGTGTGTTAAAATAAGGTGGGGCAACAAAAAAAGTTGTTTCCCTGTTGGTTTCCCTTTAAAGCCATCCTTAAAAGGGTTTCCTTCTAAAAAGCGCAAAGGCACACCTATTTCGGTAAGGGAAGATGGATCTATCCAATCCGCTCCCTCTGGTGGGCCTGTTTGATGTGAGTATCGAGGTTGGCACTGTGCAGGTTCGGCAGAGAGTGCCCAAGCCCGCCAAGGCCAAAACAACATGCCGCACCCTACCAGTCAACCAAGTCCAAGTGCCCACTGCAGCATTCACCCCAGGAAAAATGCTGGGTGCTAAACAGGGGGAGCGAAATATCGCATATGCATCCGGCCTGGAGCAAAAACCACACCCTCATTTCCTCACTTCCCAAGTTGACTGGCCAAAAAAAGTTTGAACTTTTTATTTACCACTAAAATGTTTTTTTCCAAAAAGTTTAAAGTCCACCAACTCAGGAAGTGAGTTTCCAGTATGGCCCATAGGCCACCGCACCAGGCCCAGCAGACATGTCCCATGTGGCTCAGGTTGGAGGCGCTTGCTTCAAGCTGAGTTCGGCGCATGCACCATCTGGGCGACCTGGCAAGCCGCAGTTCAAAAAGGCACCGCGCGGGGTTTCGACCAAAACCGATCCCCGGAGGTGTGAGATCTCCCCGCCGAAGGGACATTGGAACAGTAAAATGGCATTCCAACCCCATTCCCCCAAGCCCATTTGTAGAAATGGGGTGCCGGGCCCGCGCACGGCGCTTGCCGCCAAGCCCCCAAGCCCAGTCCAGCAGGATGCGCCAAGCTGCACGCTGACTTCGAAACAAACATGAGAAAAAGGCAGCCTGCGATGGCAGGAGGGACCGGTTTGTGTAATCGCTCCATCCACGGGTCGCTCCATAATCCATCCATCCAACCATCCATCCACCCACCCACCCATCCATCCACCCACCTGAAAAAGGCAACCTCTCCAGCCACTGCAACATACAAACACTACTACTCTGTTTGGCACCTTGGGTGCCAACAAAACTGAACTCGTGCCAACTCATGCTTCCAGTAAATCTCAACTGATTGACGACCTAGCATACACACAAGCAAACCACGAACCAACCAACCAACCGTCAACCAACCAAACATCCAGACAGACAGAACGGAACATAGCAGGACAGAACACCACAAAGGATTTGCAACACAACACAACATGCGCAACAAAAGACAGTAAGGCAACGAAATGCAAAGCAAATCAAAAGGAACGTCTCCAAAGGCTAGTGAGCCCTGAAGCGCGCCTGCTCCTCAGCGTAGAGCGCGCTGAGTAAGCGCGGGCCCGTGCCCCCATGGGCATCATCCTAGACAGAAGGCTGAATTCGTAGATAATTGTGTCTTTCATTTGGGATGTGTTTTTTATTGGGATTCGGATTCTATATTATTTTGGCTGCAAAAGGCCGCCTGTGTCAAGAAACACTTTGTTGGTGAGTATTGAGTTGTTAAAGGTTCAACCAGTTAGCAGGTGGATGCTAGCAGGACATGGCAAATGCTGAGGAGATGTGATTGTGAGCGCGTGCAAAAATTGGCTCTTGTGCAACCAGCACCAAACAGCTGGTACCATCAAGAAACACATGCAAGCGCCCACCCAAACTCCACACTGTTCGAGGGAAGTTGAGGGCTCGCCTATTCAGACCAGGGGTTACCCGGGGTTAGTCCTCACCCAGTCGGGCATGTTGCGAATGGGGCTCCAAAGATCACATACAGACTCGTAGTCATAGCCATTGCAGTCTATTTGTGACTGCTACTGCCCACTAAGGGCCATTCAGGACACTACGATTTCCATGTCTCCTCTTGCCACTCAAAATCAGTACTTGAAAAGACTCATGGGTTCAAACCCTGGGGGATTCCCCTAACCTGGGCTTTGGGAAAGGAACCGCAAAAGGACCCAAGACATTCTTGTTCTACTATGAGAAAACCACTGGAGTCGGGTTGTGGTTCCGGAACCCCCAACCCCATGATCGTGGGAAAATAGTGCTTGTAGTTATGTGGCCCCTTGTGAACCATGGTTTGTTTTGAGGTCCGGAGTAACCGTCATCACCTTTTGCCGGTGCCACGGGAATACGGATTCTGGGGCAAGTGATGCAAGAAACCGGCCCTCTCAATTTGCCATGCGAGGAGTGGTAGAACCACCTGGCTTTGGCACTTTCACCAGGCCTCCTCAAATGCAAAATTGTCAGACAAGGGTAGGACCCGAACCAACCCCTCAAATGGCCGATGGTCTTCTTCGTTGGGCGCTGCTCAATGTGGTGCCTGCAGGCATCCCTCATAAAACTGTTCGTACCACCCCCAAGCCAGAACACACCTCCAGTTTTGGGCTAGTTTCGTCTTGTAGGCCAAAGGAAAAATTAACGCAAAGTGGCCATATGCCTCAGCCATCCGAACAAAAACAAATCATGAACAACAAGCAAGTCTTTTTGGAGGAGCCGTCTGAAATAATTCCGGAAGGATTGGAATTTCTTTGCGAAATTATCGAGACCTCTGATCCAGTAACATGAACCCACCAGTCCCTCTTAAAGGAAGATGGTCTTCCCAGGACTTTGTTGTAAGGTTCCATGTTGGAATGGGAGGGTCGGCATCCCAAAAATTACTGTGGATGGACGAAATCCGCTTCGCACCACTTGGAAACCGTGGGCAACCGTTGATATAGTTGGCATTTACAGGAAAACCATAACTTTAGGGTTTGCTAGGTGGTGTGAAATAGATTTCGTTCATCCTCAGTATGTGACTGTGGGTCAGAAATAGGGTAACCCCAAAGTGGCTTGTTGTGGTCAGTGGACACATGGACCAAAATCTGCGGTCCGATTCCTGTTGGTTTCGTTTTGACCCCCTTACCCCCTCTTACTTCATGACATGGCCCGTTTGGAGCTTCCCTTTCTTCCATTTGCTTGAGCACCCCGGAAAAATACAAACATATTTCCAGCAGTGATCGATTCCTTTTAAAACCAGCAGGGGGAACTAAAAACATATTCTTAAGCCAATTGAAGATTTTGGGGAATTCTCCGGCCCCTTCCCCCCTTTGCCCGGGGTTCCACACGCAAAGTGGCGCCCGCAGGGGACAACTAAAAACATATTCTTTAGCTCCGCGGGCGCCCGGGCCCAGCGGTGCTGCCCGGAGGCCTCAAAGCAGCTGCGGATGGCCAGCCTGACGTTCCAAGTCGCAGGTCAGTCGGAGTGGTCGGCGAAAAACACGACCGTGCACATATCTTCTATAGAAGTGTTTTTTTGATTTTTTCTCCCCCCCTAAAAATACACCCACTGGGTATGGACCCCATTTAGGCACATTTCCGGATAAAACCGTGTTAGTTCTAACCATTCTGGGTCATTTTCCAAGGGTGTAATCCCAGGGTGTAATACAATTACCCTCAGAAAATTAGACGTGTTTTTTTTTGGGGGGGTGGACACCCGCCAAACACCAAAAGAGAGAATAACAATCATGATAATGTGGCTTTCCACTTGGTTTCAGATTGAAACCACCTAAACAAGGGTACCCGGGAAAGACAAAAACATATGCCAATACGTCCTATGTAATTTGTTCAACCCACCTTGACATGATCTAGGAAACGATGTGGAATCGAATCTGTGGATCCACCCCGGGATGCAACAAATACGTGAACAGAGTACGAAAATGCACCCACAGAAAGAAGAACAGGTGGAATCCTCGAAAAAAAACGCCCCTTTTTTCTAAATCTGGTCAGCTCATGTCTGCTCGATTCAAATCCCTGAGACACGGGAAATGTAAATGGTGGGTTGGGGCATCCCTCGCCCTTAAAGAAGGTAGTTTCCTCCACAAATCGGAAGATCTAATATTACCTCACCGTTTCGTTCGAGTCTGTTTGCAAGGGATATAGGATGTTGGGACCGTTCCCTGAAACACCTAATGTCTTAACACCAAGGCCCAACCTAGTGGATACCACTATGTAGCCACCATATCCAGGCTACCTGGTTTCGCCCGGCGAGAAACATCTCAACCGCTGCCAGCTGCCTCCAGAAAGGATGCGCTGCAGGTGAGGCCTCAGACTCTGAGAGAAAGGTCTAAGAACTCTCGCGAAGGGTTTCGCGGGGGATTTCAAAAACCCGGCGCCAGGAGACCCAATGGAGTAACCCAGGCTAAGAGCAAACTCACCTTTGGGGCAAAGAAGGCGCCTTCTCGGCTGTTTCCTGGGATCTCAAAAGAAACACCCGAAGATAAAAGGAATGACCCCGAGAAAACCACCACCTAATGTCCAAATGGGATTAAAAAATGCACGCGTAATAAAGACTTCTCGGGGCCCAAAATAATTAGTAAATGCACCTGGATTAAAGACAAGCCCCTGCCCCCCCCCCCCACCCATGAAAAAAAAATCCAAAAAAAGTCACAAAAAAGAAGAGACAAAGAGAGAAAGGACAGGAAGGAGAGGAGAGATAGCCACCCCTGGTCCTTGGATCTTTGGCACCTTGCTCTTGGCACCTGCTTCTTTCCTCAACCACCAAAAGGGGTACTACTTCAAGCCCCCAAATTTTAAGCCCAAGACTTTATTCCAGGGGCCCCTGGAATAAAGTCTTGATGCATGGTCCCCCCTGAAAAATGCAACTTCCTAAATGCAGTTACCTCTTGGCCAACTACCTAGCCAACTTCAATCCCAGGTGATGCTGGTGAAGCTTCATGCTTTCCCCCAAAAACCCAAACTGCAGACCTTGCCCAAACTCACGTTTTCTTACATGTCTCCTGCTTAAAAACTGCCCACCATCAAACCCACAAAGGGGGTAGTACTTCAAGCCCCCAAATTTTAAGCCCAAGACTTTATTCCAGGTGCCCCTGGAATAAAGTCTTGATGCATGGTCCCCCCTGAAAAATGCAACTTCCTAAATGCAGTTACCTCTTGGCTAGCGACCTAACCAACTTCAATCCCAGGTGATGCTGGTGAAGCTTCATGCTTTCTCCCAAAAACCCAAACTGCAGACCTTGCCCAAACTCAAGCTTTCTTACATGTCTCTTGCTTAAAAACTGCCCACCATCAAACCCACAAAGGGGGTAGTACTTCAAGCCCCCAAATTTTAAGCCCAAGACTTTATTCCAGGGGCCCTGACAATAAAGTCAAATGCAAACTCAGTTCCAAATCTGAAAAGGAAGCTCCAGCAATACTAAATCAATTTGAAACTCAGTTCCAAATCTGAAAAGGAAGCTCCAGCAATACTAAATCAATTTGAAACTCAGTTCCAAATCTCAAAAGGAAGCTCCAGCAATACTAAATCAATTTGAAACTCAGTTCCAAATCTCAAAAGGAAGCTCCAGCAATACTAAATCAATTTGAAACTCAGTTCCAAATCTCAAAAGGAAGCTCCAGCAATACTAAATCAATTTGAAACTCAAGTCTACCAATACTAAATCTGATGGAAACTCACCTCAACATACTATTCCCCATGCCCCCATCGTTGGGGGGAGGGGGGGGGGGGGGGCTCCCCTTTACTAATCCCCATTGGACATTATGGCTTGCTTTAAGGAAATTCCTAGGCTCATTCCCACCACCCTTGGTCACCCCCTACTGAGCACCAAGAAAAGCCAAGCCCAACATGCCCAGCGACCCTCGAAAAAGAATCGAGAGATGTTGCCTCCCGGGCAACTGGGAAAAGCTGACCAGGTTTATTGTGCAACTGCATATGGGAAACTTGGAGCTGCAACCTATATTGTACATCGAGCTTCCAGACTAAAATGGGAAACACATTTATTTGTGGGCTGATCAAAAGGTGCGTGAAACATATGGGACGGCCATTGGTGGCACCAAAACATATCTCACCCAAAATCAAAAAAAGTTGTCATTTGGGGACCATAAATGGAGTATTGATCACTCCCCATTTGCTTGGGTCGGTTCCAACTGCTACGCGAGACACCGTCCCCAAGCGGAAAAGACCGAGGCTTGCGCCATGAGAGAATTCTCCACCAGCAGGCCCGGATCCTGGAATACAGCTGCAGCCCAACTTGTTTCTTTGGGGCTCTAAGTTGGGCAACCTTTCAATACTCAACCATACCAAACCCATTAGCTATATATGCACATGTATGTATATATACATATATATATATATATGTGTGTATATACAGATGTGCGTATATACATGTATAATACACACACACACATATATATATATATACACAAAGTTATACGATTTCAAGATGTTCTTGGTTCATCATTTCAGGCAAGGGCAGTTCCCCTAACACTCCATGCAATCTGTATGGAATGTTTACTCACATGTGCCCTTCAAGTGGGTCAAACGTTGCTGTATATTACCTACATGCAGTGCTCGTTTTGACTCATTTGGGCAACTTTCGGAACGAAAAAGCATCCTTGAAGAGACTGGGGAGGGTGGATAATGGTGAATTGTGTTTTCATGTGGTTTCATGAAAGGAAGGAAAACTGATAATGGTGAATTGTGTTTTCATGTGGTTTCATGAAAGGAAGGAAAATTGATAATGGTGAATTGTGTTTTCATGTGGTTTCATGAAAGGAAGGAAAATTGACAATGGTGAATTGTGTTTTCATGTGGTTTCATGAAAGGAAGGAAAATTGATAATGGTGAATTGTGTTTTCATGTGGTTTCATGAAAGGAAGGGAACTTGATAATGGTGAATTGTGTTTTCATGTGGTTTCATGAAAGAAAGGAAACTTGATAATGGTGAATTGTGTTTTCATGTGGTTTCATGAAAGGAAGGGAAATTGATAATGGTGAATTGTGTTTTCATGTGGTTTCATGAAAGGAAGGAAAATTGACAATGGTGAATTGTGTTTTCATGTGGTTTCATGAAAGGAAGGAAAATTGACAATGGTGAATTGTGTTTTCATGTGGTTTCATGACAGGAAGGAAAATTGATAATGGTGAATTGTGTTTTCATTTGGTTTCATGAAAGGAAAGAAAATGGATAATGGTGAATTGTTTTTTCATGTGGCTTCATGAAAGGAAGGAAACATGATAATGGTGAATTGTGTTTTTATGTTGCATGTCAATCTGAAGGGGCATAACCTGGAAGCTGACAGCAACCATCTCTGGTGCCGAAGTGACCGTAATTAACCACTACTCTGTCACTTTCACTTTCGTAAGCGGCCCTAAAGCTCCACGTGCCCCAACCATGGATGAAAAAACAACGCTCAGACGTCCTGTAAACGCGCGTTTTTTTTCGTTCTTTCCCCCCTGTAATGGCCGCAAAAACGCGCAAATCATATGGTTTTTCACAGGTTTCGAGCAAGTCCAGCAGAAGTGGGCCGGATGTCCGAGTGGAACTGCAAGAGCACGGCCTATCCTTAGGTGACTCCAAATCAAAACCTGTTATTTAAATGGTCGCACTCCCAGAACCATGTACAGAATTAAAAGGCTGCCACCCCCACCATTATCCCTTAACTTTCTTCTACCCGGGTTTCGAGCAAGTTGGTCAAGTGCCTCTCTGGCAAGCAAAGATGGTGCCGGCTCAGGGCGCCTGAAACCATCCCATCGTTCATGCAAACTGATCAAAAGAGGCACGGCCGGAGAGCCGGAGGCTCGTAAAAACGGTGTAGGGTGTGGAGTTTCGCGTAAAAAAAACGGTCTTTGGGTGTGAGGGTTCGGGCGTGCTTACCATGTGGCCGGCATGGATGCAGTGCTGCGCGGGTGCACCTGAACGGGTGTTCTTACCATTCGGCGGGCATGGATTCCGTGCTGCGCGGGTGCACTTGAACGGGTGTTCTTACCATTTGGCTGGCATGGATGCAGTGCTGCGCGGGTGCACTTGAACGGGTGTTCTTACCATTTGGCTGGCATGGATGCAGTGCTGCGCGGGTGCACTTGAACGGGTGTTCTTACCATTTGGCTGGCATGGATGCAGTGCTGCGCGGGTGCACTTGAACGGGTGTTCTTACCATTTGGCTGGCATGGATGCAGTGCTGCGCGGGTGCACTTGAACGGGTGTTCTTACCATTTGGCTGGCATGGATGCAGTGCTGCGCGGGTGCACTTGAACGGGTGTTCTTACCATTTGGCTGGCATGGATGCAGTGCTGCGCGGGTGCACTTGAGCGGGCGTGCCTATCGTGAGTGTGAATTTCCATATAATTCCCGCGTTTTACGTGGTAGTGGCCGGACATGCACGAAAGCTGTGAAAAACCATATGATTTGCGCGTGTTTGCGGCCATTACAGGGGGGAAAGAACCAAAAAAAGCGCGCGTTTACAGGACGACCGAGCCAAAAACAAGCCTCGAACGCCGAACGCCGGAGACGAAAAAACATGATCGATCCTCTGTTGGTTATGGGTTAATTAACCTCAAAAACAGAAACCACGCCCATCCTCCTTCGCACCCAACTGGCCCCACGGCTCCCTCCTTGGACCTGCACTCTACGAGGCTCACCAAATCAGAGGGAATCCTCAGGCCGCAGGCAGTCGGACGCCCCGAAGTCCACGACTGGGTGGATTCAAGGCCGCCCGTTGAAAGCAACATCTTGGCCGAGTGGCCAACATCTGGCAGTTGAAACGTTAAGTCTTCAAATCGCTTTTGAGGCTTTTGAGGCTCCCGTTGTCTTCCTCCCGCAAAATCGTAGACACATGAGTTCTGCCAGGTGAAACAAAGGCGCCGCCAAGAAATCCGGCAGCAGCCTGAGAGCGCAGCTCCTGGTAGAAATTCGCCCGCGCCTAGGCCGACACGGATATCAAAAAGGCCACTGCTTCACGTTCCATTTGTCAAGGGAAACCCTGGAAATATCACATCAGTGTTTGCATTCAAAGAGACCCCCTTCATGCACGTGGATCGGGACTCCTCTATGTTTCCAACCGCTCAACTGAGTTGCCGCCGGGGACATACAAAACTGCATCGACCCGATTGAACTCGGAAGGCGCACAATTGAGCATTCGTCGGAACCTTACAAGTCCCATACCCCCAATCCTTCGGTCATGAGAAGGGGGCCCTACGCGACATAATTTCGTGGTTTCCCTAGGAAACGGCCCATTTGCTGTACACCCAAAGGGGCCCTCCATGATGTGCAGTGCAGTTCGGCATACCTAGATCGCCAAGTTGCTGCTTTTTTCAGTCACTGCTCCTGGATTTTTGAGGTAAAGTGGATGGACAAAAGCAGCAGCTGGCGATCCAGGTAGTCCTTCAGGACTTGTCGGACATGCCGAAAGCCACCCGCACGAGGCACGGTGACTGAATGACACTCGACTGGGCCTTTTCAGGCAAACATCTCAGAGCTTCCAATTGATGGCCCTCTTCAACTACAACTTACAAAGAAGTTCTAAGACAGAGCAAGAGGTCATGTGACTAAAATGATGTAGGACATCTAAAGTGATAGATCACTTTGGAGGTAGTTGAGGTAGTTAAGTCTACCACCATGTTTTATGGATGTCTTACTACCATGGACCCAGAGTGACTGAGAAGACTTGCGTTTGAGAACCATCGATATGTGTTTGTCATTTTAAATGGAATCATGTTTTTAGTTGGTTTTCATGGGAAACCAACGGTGTTTTTTTTTCCCCCTCTTATCTGGGGTCCATCACGAAACACCGATACACGTTTGCTGAACACGTTTGCTGAATTTCTAGCCGATTGTGCATGGACGAATCCTGCACCACCTAAGGCACCCTGGGATGATGACTCTCCTGTGAATACCAACAATCGTTATGGTTTCAACCCATGGTTTCACAGTGGTGCGAAATGGATTTCGCAACCATCCACACTAGGTCCTCCAGTAGAGAGGCTAGAATAAGGTTACCCTTTTTTCTGTAGTCTATTTTAGTAGGGGAAAACTCTCCCCGACCAACTACTGGGGGACCTAGCACAGTAGTAACCTCTTCCTATTCCGGCAATTGGCTGGGCGAGCTTCGCCACCGATTTTTCCGCAGGCCCACAAGAAGGCCTCGTAGTCTAAATCGGCGTAGATCCCGCCCTGCTGGTGCAGCACGCAGTAGCGCCCGATGTCGGACCCTGGCCCGGGGCCATTCTCAAATGACGCAGTCTAGGGGTACCTTCGCCCTTCTTTCCAGAAAAAAAACTAGAAAACCGCAAGAAACCCAGTGAAAACGACCGGCCTTTGAAAAGAACGATGGTTGAAAAGAATTGGGAATCCACCCCTAGAACGTGGAGCAACCAAAAAAAAAGCGGTTTTTGGTCTGAGCTTCGGCTTCCAGGTCCTTTAAATGGTTTTCCCCAAGCGCGGCCAGGCGCACGCTCGATGCCGCCCGGGAGGGCCAGAAAGTCCTTCAGGAATTCCGGGAACTCCTGGCGTGCAGCTCGTCGACCGGCCCCTTTCCACGACACCCCCAAAACGGCTTAGGCCACAGACCCTCCTTGGTTGCCCACAGTCTAAACCGGCCCCTGTGGCCCAAAAAGCACAAAACCCCGCCAGCCACAGATCCCCCCACTCCAAAACACCAATTGCCACGGAGCGACCTTGCACATTGACCTTGGATGTCCTTTTGGACCAGTGGATTTCACGGGTCAACTAAACTGACACCAATCTAGCGCCATCTATTATTAGATCAAAACTCATCTAAACAGATCACCTATGCACGTGATTCGCTTTGGCACCTACTGGCTCGTTGCGAGCCACATGCTCAACAGGTTCGACGCGCGCGCGCGCGTCCTTCTGCATGCAATCCTCAGGCAAAAGTACATGCGCAAGGACACGTTTGCAAAAACTACGCGGGGCGGCCTGTGCCCAATGTGCAAAAGCAGGACATCTTGACCAAACCTGTTGAAACATCCCTTTCTCAAAGGCCTCAAAGCATGCAAAAGCTTCACAATGCAAGTCGTGAGTGAGTCAAGAATCGCCGCCAGGTCTCTGTGAGATTGTGGTCGCGCCAAACCTCGTGGTGCACAGACAAGGATCATAGAGGCTGGGCACTTGAGATGTCCCCTGCTGCTGGGAAGGTGGCACTGGTACGTTTATGCACGTGCCCGGGGACTGCAGGCGCGTTTGCCATCACTGCCATCAGCAATGTGCCGGGGGGTGATCCCGCCAAACTTGGAATGACAGTATGGGTTAGCTTTCCACACGCAAGCACCCATTCAGTTGCAGAATTTGGTTCCTCCCGAGATGAGGTTTGTTCCAACATCCCCACCCCTGCCCCTGAAATGAACCACTCAATTGCGCTGGAGGGGGCTGGGGAGCTCGCTCTACTTCCATTTTCCACGTCCGAAAAGGGTGGTTCCAGTCCAAAGTGGCGCTGCAAATCTTCACTGCAAGCCGCGGCGCTGCGCACGTTGCCTCTGCGACTGATGCTGGTGTTTGTCCCTCGCCGGGTGTGATGATTCGGGCCAGCAATTGTCAGGGAGCCCAAGGCGGCCCCACCAAGGCTCTTACCTTCTTCGGAAGGGCTCTTAGAAGGTTTCTGATCCAACCCTCCGGAGGGGGGGGGGGGGCAAATGAAGTCCTATGGGACAAGACAGCTACCAACTGCGAAATGGATGTTGTACAATGTTTACAATATCTCGGTTGCTTTCTGCTCCCCTGCTAAAAGCTTAACGTTTAGTGGTATAATGGAAAACCGATTTGTTGGCAAAAAGTTGAAGTCCTAACATCCATGAAACATGCACCAAATAATATATAACCCACTTTCCATTTCGTCCAGGTCTGGATTCGAGCCCCCGGCGCGGTGCCGGAACCCCTCCCGGCGCGGGAAGTACCGGAGCCAGCTGCGCAGCGCCACCTCCTGAGCTCGTCGCTGGCTCGTCTTTTTTGGTTGAGGGCGCCCTTGTTTGGTGGGCGTTGAGCAAGAGAAGGAAACCTCACTTTCTGTTCTTTTTTTTCTCCGGGGGGGGTGGGCACTTTCGTGTGGAGGTATTTTGCAAAACCCGCAAGCGCAACTCAAAAAGCACCACGGCTGGCGGGATTTTTGTTCGCGCTCAAGACGCATCAAGTTTTGGAAGGCGAAAGGGCGCCAACCGGGAAAGGTTCAGAGCACCTTAGATGAGAACCATTCTGGTGGGTCGGGCGCCGGCCGCATGATTTCCAACCGCTCAACTGCTCACGTCCGATTGGCCAAGGAACACCTAAATTGGAGCGTGATTGGCCGGCCGCGCATTGAAGCTAAGCCTGCGACCCACACCAGAACGGGAAACCTTGGACGCATGTCATGCTGCGAGATGACAGGGGTTGAAGCGAGCGGGATGTTTGAACCTTCCTGGACTGTCCAACGGCCCCTCAAACATGGGAAATCGCTACTTTGAGGGGGCGCGGGCTCAGGATAGGACAGCCGCATTTGCACAGCCCTGTCTTGTTCTTCTTGCTAACAGCCTTCAGCATGTGCTCCTGCACGTGGGTGATTTCTCAAAAGTCTTGATCAGCGTGTGATGGGCTGTTTCAGCAACCCCGCGTTAGCTTTCGGAGGTGTAAGCATCCAATTGCCTCGAATGCAGAAAACCATGACCCAAGACCCCCGATGGTTGTCAAGTGGGTTGTCAAGTGACAGCCATTGAGGAACCTTGCCTTTCTAAACCATGGGCCACACGAATGGCTACTTTATCGCTGAGGGCAATATCTTGGAGTCACAAAACAGTAGCCAGGGTTGACTCCGCCCTCTGTTTAAACAGTTTGCCAAGTCTTTAAACAAGTACCACCCTGACCCCCCACCCAAAACACGTCAAAGAACCAATGCTCCCGCAAAAAAAAGGCGGAGAAGTCGCTGAGCCGCGCGCTGCCCAGCGTTGGGCATCTTTGGTGGATCTGGCCGCGTGAAGTGCCTAAGCTTCGGACTCGCTCCCTTCTCCCCAAAGGATTTGGAAATGAAGGCTAGGGGCCTTCAGAGGGGGCGGCTTATTGGCTGGGATGGTATCAGCCAAGAAGCACGTCATGGGTTCGCACGACCGAAGTGAGGAATGGACGAACCGGTGAAGCTCGGCCCGTTCACGCTTTTAGCATCCCATCCATTTTGACCCACAAGATGCACTCCTAGAGGAAAAGCGCTCTCCCCTCAGCCAAGAGCTACTTTATGAATGCTTCTTATGATAACTAATCTCCCTCCTCCTTGCATTCTCCTTTCGTAGAGAAAGTGGAAGGGGGAAAACACTTCTTAAGACAAAATATCCACGCTGGAAAAAAGGAAAGTCCCCAAAAACCGCTGATGTTCCAATGGGTTCGAGGCCACTTCTTGTTTGGGGGCAACTCCGCTCCGGGCTGTCGCAAATTTTAAGAGGACCATCACCCCCTGATGGATGCTGAAAATTGATGCAAACCTTGCCAAACAATCCAAAGCCTGAAATAAGGCATCTCCCACGGACCCATATCATGGTCAGCTCATTTTACCCCACATAAGCCTGCCATGAAGTAGGCACTCCGAACAGCCAACGACTTTCTTACAAGACACCATTGGCACCTTCCCGGGTTGGTCTTGCGAACCTCCAACAAGTTCTTCCCCTCCAGATCCGCATGGACCCGGGAGGAAAAAAAGAGGCTCTCTCTCTCTCTCTCTCTCTCTCTATCTCTTTCGATTCATCACATGCTTCGCCCGCGTTCAATTATCAACCACTCGTCCCCGTTCGGGTCGAGCCAGGCTACGAACTGCAGCGGAGTTCCAGCCCCAGAGCCAAGCCGCAGAAGTTTGGTTGTAGAGAAACGAGTCGGGAAAAAACTTCCAGCCCCACCAAGCAGATGGAGGGCTTCGGTTGTAGAGAAATTGATACTCTGCTATTCGTAGACGCGTTGTATCCCCCATGTGTTCACAAATGCCAGGCTTGAGGTATGAGTCCAAATCAAACCTCGGTGCTGGGTGCAGCAGTTGAGGAAAATCGTCTGCGGGGACATTCTCGTAATCCCACGAATACCTGTCAGGGCCGTCATTGGCATCTACATCGCATGGCCTCACGTCAGGATGCGAATTGACCCAGTGCTCGAAGGCATACCGATCTAAGCCGACGCAAGGACTCGCAACCCCGCTAAGCTCAGGCATGTGCGCCACGAAATTGCCCATGTCAGTCGGGAAATGCACTGGGTCCTTCAATTTCGCAATGTAGCCACACCGAGCCGTCCACATGTTGCCAGAATAGTGAGGGTGCGGCACTGGTGACATGCGGGATGAGCATACATCGCACTGCGAAGGTAGGTTCTGACATTCTTCTGACAGGACACCTCTTGTAAGGTACTTTCGCAATCGGGTGTTGTTTTCAGTGTCCGTGTACGAACCCTTGGAGTGCAAGTAGGCAACGACTTGGGATGGATCGGCATCTTTGCAGAAAGACCAAAGCGTGTGAAGGGTCACGTCTTCCTCGCCGCCCAGGCGCGAAGAGAACTGCGCCTGTCTCTGAACTTCAGAGCGCAGTCCAAGGTGATCGATGCTGTCGAGCGGGCCAAGGGAGCTGACGCGTAATTGTTGCAGCTGGGGGTTGACAAAGGACAACTGCTCTCGGGCAAGCGCTGCGACTCTTGAGGCATCCGTGGCATCTTTGATCCACAGATGGTAGAAAATCACCACCTTGGTGCGTGTCAAGGACAACAAGCAAGACGCATCTTCACCAACTGCACTAGCAAGAAAGCAAAACAACACGAAAAGCCTGGCATTTGGCATGGCCAGGGAAAAGGTTTCGGTATGGACTTGAGCCACAAGACTTTGCGGAGTGGCAAATACGAGCACGTCCAAGCCTTTGACCGGTATTGACAAGTCAGACATGGTACTGTTGACAAAATCTAATTCGCACCAGATTGTGGCTTACCTCAATATTTGTAGTGTCATCTATCCGACTGTTACGAAGTGGACTTTGCTCATCCACACTGAACACAAAGCCAGTGACATGTAAGCGATGTGGTCAGAGAAAAAAGTGACACGAGATGGGGGCGCGCTCTCTCTCTCTCTCTCTCTCTGCCTGTCTCTCTCTATCTCTCTCTCTCTCTCGCCCCGGATCGTTCGGAAGAGACACATGATGGTCTGCGGCTCTCTTCACTTTCTTTTTCCTTCGGAAGAATAGGTCTCTTCACCCCCTCAAAAGCAAATACTAGAAGGATCAATTGTGGGGATGTCTTCGTTTGTCTGTCATCAGTTTCATTCATTAGTCCTCCCCTCATCCATGTAATGACGTAGGAGTAATGGGAAGGTGTTTGCATGAAACATCCTCACAACCAAAGGGAATGAGCCTGGAATTTTGTATGGCTGAGTGTCTCCTCTCCATCACCAGACGGTTAAAATCCTTGACTCCGTCTCCTACAGTCTTCATCTATGTCTTCCCTGTCAAATGGTCCAACAATGTTGGAGATAGGAATTTCCAAGATATACATGCCAGAGCAAGCCATGCTCCCCTCTCTTCATTCGGTTCTCAGTGTACACCATAATTCACTTCCAGAAGATTAGAGAACAGTGAGTAGCCAATGAACGCATGTGGTGCGGTCGTGTGGTGTAAAAGCAATCCGAATAAATCAGGCCACAAAGAGAGCCAAGGAAATTACTTTTACTATCATTGTGTGGCTGCGTACAATTTTGCAATTGAAGCCGAATCGCAAATGGCGATTCGTGATCAAAACTTCCTTTCGTCCGAGCGAATGTTTCTCCCATCATGTCACGGCCACCGGCTCTCTATTCGCAGTGAAACGAGACCATGCCATCTCTTCTCCTCCCCCCGTGTCCATTCCCTGCGAAGGAGAAATGGGGAAAGAGACGGCCCATACAAGAATTGCTTGTGTACGAGCGTGCAGGAAAGAGAGATGCCAAGGTTTAATGGAAGAAGCGCTTTGGAGACTTGCCTCAAACGCAGGCCCAACACACAAAAAATGGGGAGTGACACGCCTCAAGTGTGCAACTGACCCTTTTCTGAGAGCGGCGCACCAAACGCGGTAGCGCTGCCGTACCGGCCTGCTCGAACGCCCCTAGAGAAACAACCAAGCCATAAGCCAGGTAGCGTTCTCACCATAGGTGGCCTTTTTGGAAAATAGAAGGCCCTGGTAGATGATTGAACCACCAGGTAAACCAGCGCAATCGATTTTTTAACCAAACCAACCTAAAAGGACACCTATGGCCCGTTCTTTGCGACCATCTTCGAAGGGCTCTGATCGAGGGTTCTGCAATGATTCTGGTAGAGGGACTTCATGAATAGCCCCACGGCTCAATCCGGCTTTTCGAAAGCTCATAAACTGCTCCTTGCCCCTCCACCCCAACTTCATGTATAAACACCAAACCGGCTTTGGTCTTCCTAGGTCCTAACGGGTGGGACGCCGGTCCCCCAAACAGAGATGTGACAAGCCCCGCCCCCGTCCCCAACAAAAAAAACCAATATGGGTATAGGTCAAAATTAAACCGCTAAGGGACCCCAGGTTTTAGTCCATTTGCCAGGGTTGATTTTGGGTACCGATTTTCGCCCCACAGCCATACAGGCACTTGCCAAGACGCAATTGACAAACCCGGAGAGACTCTGCCAGAATGGGTGGCAAACACCACAGAAATCGGGGCGCCAAAGGGCACGCCTGCAATGGCATTGGGCTGGACGCCATGGGCCATTGCGCCGGCGAAACAAGACCTGAAGTCCAATGCCTGGAGTCTCAAAGTCTGACGCGATTTGAACCCCGGGCCCTGAGACCGTTTGAAGGGAACCAGTCGCCTTCAGGATCTTCCTGTCGCACGCATTTCTCCAAAGCGGCCGAAAAACGACTGTACTCCAACGGTTTCCAAGCGCAGCTGAGCTTGGAGCCCGGCGGGGTTTGGGCTTGGACCGGGCACAAACTCAGACAGGAATTGCTTGAATTCCCCTTGCCGCAAACAGAAGCACCACGACTGCATGCGTAACAAGACTACATGCGTGAATTCCCTGTGTGTAGTAATAGACTAGGCCTAGTAACAAACATATATGGAACCAACAACGGAGATGTCGGCACCCGATACACAAAAGCATACGTGTGGAATTGTGTCTAAGAAAGTCCGCAGGGAGCCCGTGCGCTTGCTATTACATTGCTATTAACATACAGGACTCCTTCAATTCATCACGGCTTGTAAGCATTGAAAGCCATTGAAAGCTGTCACAAGCACCCTGGTTTAGAAGCCTTTACAGGCTGCGGCAAGCAAGACGGCAGGTCTGTGCAAAATGAGGGATGCTAATTGGTCAAAATTGCTAAGATATTAACTCTTTAGTGGCGTGGGTCCTTACTCCTATCAAAAAACACTTGGAAACTTTCACGTGCGTGTTCAACTTGATCTTGTTTTTGCGAACAACTGCCAGATC